CTGGTATTCTTTGCTTTCAGCCAAGATTAATCTGATGCCAGCAATGATATCCTTCATTCCACATCCTCTTCTGAATCCAGTTTGCATTTCTAGAAGTTTTTGAAATATTTTCAGCAATATTTTACTTGCATGTGGTATTAATGATATTGTTCAGTAATTTCTCATCCCCTCAGATCACTTTTCTTTGGAATGCATACAAATATGGATCTTTCTAATCAGCTGGCCAGATTGCTGTCTTCCAAATTTCTTGGCTGGGAAAAGTGAGTGCCTCCAGTGTGACATCCATTTGTTGAAACATCTCAATGGATAGTCCATCAATTCCTGGGGCTTTATTTTTCCTCAATTCCTCCAGTGCAGCCTCAACTTCTTTCTTCAATACCATTTGTTCTTGATCATATGTCACCTCTAGAAATAGATGAATAACGACCAATTCTTTTTGGTACAGTGACTCTGTGCATTTCTTTCATCTTCTTTTGATGTTTCCCACATCATTCAATATTTTGTCCATAGAATCTTTCAGTATTTCACTTGAAGCTTGAATTCTTCCCTCAGTTCTTTCAGTTTGAGAAATGCCAAGTGTGTTCTTCTCTTTTGGTTTTCTAACTCCAAGTCTTTGCATATTTCATTATAATAACTGATTTTGTCTTTTCAGGCTGTTCTTTGAAATCTTGTGTTCAGATCTTTTATCTTGTCGTTTCTTCCATTTGCTTTAACTACTCTCCATTCAATGGCAAGTTTCAGAGTCTCTTCTGACATCCCTTTTGATCTGTTCTTCCTTTCCTGACTCTTTAATGACCTTTTACTTTCTTTATGGATGATGTTCTAGGTGCCATCCCATAATTTCTCTGGTTTTCAGTCACTGGTGTTCAATAAATCAAATATATTCTTTAGACAGTCTCTAAATTCAGGTGGGATATAACCAAGGTCATATTTTTGCTCTCATGGACTTGTTTTAATTGTCTTCAGCTTCAAGTTGAACTTGTATGAGAGCAGTTGATGGTCTGTTCCACAGTCAGCTCCTGGTCTTGTTTCGGCTGAAGATATTGAGATTCTCCATCACCTCTTTCCACATATATAATCGATCCTATTCCTGTGTATTCCATCTAGTGAAGTCCACTTGTATAGCTGTCATTTGTGTTGTTGAAAACAGGTATTTGTGATGAATAAGTCATTGGTACTGCAAAATTCTATCATGCCACCTCCAGCATTATTTCTATCACTAAGGCCATATTTTCCAACTACCGGTGATTCTTCTTTGTTCCCAACTTTTGCATTCCAATCACTGCTAATGATCAACACATCTTGTTTGCATGTTTGGTCAATTTCATACTGCAGATGTTGGTAAAAATCTTCAATTTCCTTGTCTTTGGCTTTGGTGATTGGTGCATATATTTGAATAATGGGAGTATTAACTGGTCCTCCCTGTGGGGATATAAATATTTTCCTATCACTGACAGCATTGTACTTCAAGATAGATCTTGAAGCATTCCTTGTGACAACAAATGCCATGTCATTCCTCCTCAATTTGTTACTCCTGGTATAGTAAGTAGATCATATGGTTGTCTGATTCAAAATGGCCAAAACCAGTCCATTTCAGCTCATGACTGCCCAGGATATTGATCTTTATGTGTTCCATTTCATTTTTGACAACTTCTAATTTTCCTTAATTCATACTTTATACATTTTATGTTCTGATTTTTAATGGATGTTTGGAGCTGTATCTTCCCATTTTGAATCATGCCACATCAGCAAATGGAGGTCTCAAAAGCTTTACTCCATTGATATCATTAGGGTTGGTTCTACTCTGTTGAGGCAGCTCTTTCCCAATTGTATTTTGAGTGCCTTCTGACCTGAGGGGCTCATCTTCCAGCCCTGTGTCAGACATGTTTCATGGTTATTCATAAAGATTTCCAGTAACATATCAGACAGTGTTTCACTGCTATTCATAACGTTTTCAGTGGCCAATTCTTTAAAAAGTGGATGGCCTCTTCCTTCTTCTGAGTCTATCCTAGGCTGGAAGCTCTGCTAAAACCTGTCCACCATGTGTGACACTACTGGTATTTGAAATATTGGTGGCATAGCCTCCAGCCTCACAGCAACACATGAGCCACCACAGTAGAACAAACTGCCAGATGAGTGTTAAAATATAACACAATTTTTAATTTACAAAAACAAAATGCAAAGGAGTACATGTGATTCTCACCATAGAACTACAAACAGTCTTTTTAAATATATATGCTTATACATATAAACATAATTTTAAACTATACTTCTCTATATATATTTATATGTATCTATTTCCTAGGAAAACTCTCAAAAAGAAATTATCTTTTGTAAGTTTTGTAGCAAAACTAAAGATCTATTTTCTGTACTGTTTGATTTATTCCTCACTATGTTAAAAAATGAGAAAATATAATTATCTTGCTCAAAACACTTAGATTTTGATATTATGTAACAAATTAAAGTAATCATGAAAATTAGAATTGATTTTTTTTGCCTGTTTCTAAATATTTTATAAAATATTTCTGAACATGTCTCAATAAT